ATTTAGAAATAATAACTAATGAATAATGTTCAAAGATTGCAATGTGTATAATACTAAGTGTAAAGTAACTTTTCGAACATCGTGTAATTTATTTTAAATGATTAAAGAAAAACTCTGTCTATGTCATCTTTTTAAAGAAATTTCTTTTCTTTTTTTCAGGTTTATCAAAAAGAGGTAAAAAATTTCTTCCGATAGATTTTATAAATATGTTTCAGCTTTCAACATTTTATCCAAAAACTTTTCGATTACCCGTAGATGCGATATTGCTCAGGATTTTCTAGCCAGTGTTCAGATAACTGATCCTTCATTACTAATTAACGGATTGAACTGTCTTTGTACATATGTGTTTGTTTTATTTTTATAAATCGAATAAAAAAAAAAAAAGCTTAACGTATCTAAGGCAATCATTTCCAAATAATTAACAAGAAAGAGTTGTCTGAAACAGATCTTTTCAAATATTAGCGAGTTTATTGTTTCAAACAATCTTGATTCACTGACATAGACGGCAGAGCTACGTGGCGTGCGTCGGCTCGATCCTATCCTAGATTAGAGAGGTAAAGGCCTGGGTAGACTCGAGTGTAACGAAAAGCTCCTGTCGAATTTGGTGACCCATCTCGCTTTGTAGAGCAAGTTGCGAGAAACTTTCCGAAAAACTGCACACCATCAAGCTCTATATGTTTCACAAAGAAGTTCTTCTGTATGTAAAAAGAAAAGTCGTTTCTTGTCAACTCTTCGTGTTTCCGTGTCCGTTCGAACCTAAGCATTGGTACTCTTTTTTTTGGAATGGTCAATGATTGAGGTCAAACATTTTAATCTCAACTAGTCCGCTATGACTAGTTCAGATCAAAATTTCAATTTGTCGTAGTTCGATTTAAAACTGAACTAGATTTTAATATATCCTACGACATATATGAGTTTATATGAAAATATATTAATAACAATTATCGTTGAACTCAACGAACAAACAACAAGTATATCAAATCAACTAGCCATTTATATAAAAAAAAATAAGCGACATCTATTTAACCAATTCTCTTAAACTTTAAAAAGAGAAAAACTGTTATTCAATAAAAATAGAAAACTCGAATATATTAAATGAAGTAGATTTAAAGGTTTATATCCTTATTTCAATACTTACTTTATTTCTCTAATATAGATCGATCTCTTACAATTGTCAACCGATCATCACAGTGTCAAAAAGCAAACTATATGATAGTCATAATCATTTAGTTTTAAAGTTTTTATAAAAATATTCAATAATTTATTATAATGCATGCTAGTGTAAGCAAATGTTTGTCTGTTTAACTCCATCATACCATAGTATTTTAGCAAAAGTTAATATATGATTTTATTGCTTATAAAATTCTCTATCTAATGATATATAATATATAATTATTTATTTTTTATATAAATGGTAATATCTCGGAAAAAGAAGATAGGTAAAAAATATCATGTTTTTCATATTTTTTGATTTTCATGCACATTTTATTGAATGTAGTTTTCTCTCAAAGTATGTGACAAAGAAAAATCTGTCTCGCTTACTGCACCCAGAATTTGATGACACATCTATCTACTGAAACAGATTTTTCTTGCTATGTACTATAAGTCCAATAACCTTGGCAAGGTTTAAAGGATATACTATTTAACAAGAAAAAATGTATCTAATGGAAAAATGAATATATCTTAAAGAAAACACATCCAATCTTTACGAAATTTTCAGGATATATACAACTTTGAATGCTCTATAAAACTATATAAAAATTAGATCAAAATATCAAGTTTGAAAATTTTTCGAAAATTCATAGTCAAAGAAGGCCCATGCAAGCTATATATCATGTGAGGGTCCTAGCTTCGTCAAAATCAGTCTATTTCTAAAAAAAATTGGAGGATATATGCAGTTTTAAATTCTCTAGAAAATGGGTGAAAAAAATGGGGGTCAGGGAGTGGTCAGTCCCCCCTTAATGTTGATACACATACCCCTGCATTTAAACAAGGATTAACTTTATCACAGCCCGTAATTCCTGGGCTAACAGATACGGGTGAATAAAAAAAACAAACAAACGAACAATATAAGAAATATTTCTATGTTATTCCTCATGATGAACTACCTGATGATTCACACGAGAGGCCTGTATAGCCTGGTGGACATGTACAATAGAAACCGCCACCAAGCGTCATGGTGCAGGTTCCTCCATTTTGACAAACATTTGTTAGACATCGTTGACCAGGTAAGATACCAGATGCTGTTGTGGTTGTTGTTGTTGTTATGGTGAGGGTGGTGTCTAAACTTTTTAGAAAAATTTAAAGATCATGTCGCGCTCTATATTTACATATTAACATTACCTGGAATATCACAGAAATCTCCACTCCATCCGACTGTACAATAGCACATAGCAGCAACGGGGCCGGGCGGATCGTAACATATGCCACCATTGTCACAGGTTAGGGTATTACAATCTTGTTGCCTTGTGCTGATAGCAGATTCTTTTTAAAAAATATGAAATTTAATAAACAGATCCTTGTGTGTATTTTCAAGTCTTACGTGCTACTTGACATCGAACACCGATATAACCAGGTTGACAACGACAAGTAATTGATTGTCCAACAAGAGCACATATTCCATCATTGTAGCAGTATGATGAACACCCAAATCGTCTTGATGTAACAGAAATATCAACATATGATGAGAGAGATTTTTGCATAGGTGCTTCAAGAACATCTAAATCGGCTTCAGTTGTTGGATAATCATCATTTTCATCTAGTGTATCATTTGAACTTATTGTTACTTCTATCAAATGAAATAAATTTTATTTATTTGTTTTTTTTATTATTAAATTTAAATAGTTAATAAAATTAATTCAATCATCTGTAAATCGATAGATTATAGCCTCCTGATCATTTTAACGCTAAATTCAATGTATTTCCACAAGATTCTAAGTGTCATGAGGGTCTGCCATTCATTACACCATGAAGCATTTATCAATCATCAGTTAGTCAAGAATACTGTATAACTATATGATTACAATTATATGCTTGTTTTTCCATAAAAACAAATACATCCAAAATTCTCTTATATACCATTTGATAGAGCTTTTCAAGCTCTAAAAAAGTAGATAGTTTTAAAGATAAAAAAAGATGGACCTATAAGGCAAAAATATTAAACATTGAGTTTAGTATCTATGGGAAAAGAGATTTTTGCATTCTTTTTCAACACATATAGAAAAATATAAGTATTTGATGAATAATTTATTTTCTATATTAACCGTTTAACGGGCGGTGGAACATATATGTCCCACTTTTTGTTTTCGATTGCAGAACTATAATAAACTAGGATTAACGACTTTGGTAAAAAGAACGATGATGCTGCGGTAACCTTGTTGCTTATTTTGTATAGTACGTGATTGTTGTATCATCCATTTGATACAAAACAAGAGTATAAGCGTGGATGTGAATGTGAATAATTTATTCATACCCAAGAACACTCACAACCTCGTGCAAGATGATCTGGATCATGATCTATTTGACTGCATGATTGACATCGATAGAGCTTAGCCATCCTGAATTCGCTCGTTAAAGGATTAATTAATGAATTAATTAGCTATGTTGAGCACTTCCTTCGGATGTTGTATAAATCAGTTTAGAACATAAAATATCATCGTTTTCGACTTATCCTTCTCTAAGATGTTCCTGGGTCGGAGTATATTTCTTTCCTTATGATTATCGAGAATATATGACTGACGTTAATTTCTATGGAAGTGTTTCTTCTCCTTGTAACTGTCTGATAAGGCAAATTCTTTTGGATGCGAACTAGTCAATAATGTACTCTCTAAGTACATTTAATGTCATAAGTGGTTAGTTGCATATCAGCGTTGTGATAAAGCTATTTTTGTATGTATTTTGAAAACAAATTGCATGTCTTGAGGAGACTTTTCGACACTGTAACCAATATGCTGCACATAAATCTTCCAAGATATCTTGCTTGCCATTGAAGTATTCGAAGTCTAGGAATACGCTTTTTACGCCCAAGTCTTCTAAGAAATTTTTGTGTCAATCGAACAACGTAAACGAGTTACTGGTCAGTTTAAGAAAGTTATGGAAAATGAAAGTGTGTTCGACGAAAACGGTGAGGATGTTTTTTTTCTCCTTCACTCTAACCCACAGACTCTGACACTTTGACGTTCAGATCGTCATGTTGGCGATCTAACAATTGTCAATATTGGTTCTATCGATGGTTTGCTGACATTATGGTTCCGAAACGCTGTTATCTTTTGTCTATAATTTACTAAGTAGATTTCATCTTGCGGATTTTAGACTACTATCGATTTCAAAAAGGAATGGACTTGATTGAACAGAGAATAAGTCGAGAATCAGAGCATCGAGAGATCTGCAGTTTTCAGTTTTCAACAAAAATCAGCTAGATGTTATAAATCTATGCGAAAATTATTTGTTCAAGTAGTGATCGGTGTTAGTTAATTCTTAGCAAACATTTCGAAAACAAAGGTCTGAAAAATTTTTTCGTTGAATTTTTCAGTCGAAAGATAATCACGTAATAAAGAGAATTAAGTCGTTTCAATCTATGCAAGGCCGACATTTTTAGCTTGTTCCATTTGAAAGTGATGGGAGTTTTTCGGAGAGTGTCAAAATCAGCTAACTCACCATTAATCACTCTCATATGATTTGATGTAGAAGGTTTCGACCTTACTGAATCTCATTGCTTTAACAGAAAAATTCTCGAGAAACATGCGATGTTTTATTTCAGAGTAGGGTCAGCGAATCCGCAGGATGAGCGCTACCTTGTTTCAACTTAATCAATATTATCACAATATGGTGTTTATCTCCGTTATTCGGTATTACTGATCATTTAAACGAATGTATCGACGAATTAATTGGAAAAAGTGCGATTATGTTTTCTTTTCACTTCGGAGCATAACTGATGGCAACAAAGTGCAACCAGGGGCGGATGCTACACGAGCATACACTGATAGGCCCCTACTATATGTGATTTGCTCCGATCACTTTAAACGAACAGCAGATTACAAAGGATATTTATCGTATGCACTCAACATACCTTTACATTTTTTCTGGTCACAAACACCGCTCATACAGTCATCGTTTTTTTT